ACGGCAGGTGGCCTCCAGAAACTGGAAACAACAAAACAGGTTCTCCCCTAGAGCCTTCAGAAAGGGATGTAGCCCTGCTGGCCCCAGGGTTTTAGCCCAGTGAGCCTCATTTAAGACTTCTGACCTCTACAACTGTAAGATACTAACTTTGTGTTGTTTTTAAGCCACTAAGTTTATGGCCATTTGTCACAGCATCAAAACGAAGCTAACAGAGATTTTGGTACTAGGAGTGGGGTAATACAGTCACAAATACCCGAAAGTGTGGAAGTGGTTACAGCACTGGGCAACGGGCAGAGGCTGGAAGAACTTTACGGAGAGTTAATAGAAAAAGCCTAGATTGCCTTGAATAGAATACTAGCAGAAATACAGATTTGAACTGCTAGGAATGACTCAAAGGGGAACAAGAAGCATATACTATCTTAGAGAATACCTAAATCGTCATGAACAGACCGTTGATAGAATCATGGGCATTAAAGATGCCGCTGGTAAGACCCCCATTGCCATCAAGTCAATTCTGACTCACAGTAACCCTACTGGACAGAGAAGAACTGCTCCATAGAGTTTCCAAGGCTGCAATCTTTACGGAAGCTGACGGCCACACCGTTCCCCCGTGGACTGGCTGGTGGGTTTGAACCACCACCCTTTCGGTTAGCAGCCGAGCACTTAACCACTGTGCCATCAGGGCTCCCTTGCCAGAGACAGCTCAGATGAAAATGAGGAACACCTAATTGGAAACTGGAGAAAAGGGGACAGTTGGGAGACAGAAGCAGAAAGTGTAGCTGAAGTATGCCCCGAAGTTATGCGGAAATCAAAACTTGTAAAGGATGATCTTGGCTATTTAGCTGAGATTTCCAAGCAAAGTATTGAAGGATGCAGCCTGGTTTCTCCTTGCTGTTCACAGCAAAATGTGAGAAAAAAGATACAGATTGAGGGAAGAAATGTTAAGCAAAAAAAGACATCTTTGCGGACAGGGGAATTATTCTGCCTACCACAGTCCACCTATGGCCCCCAAAGATTTACGTCTGTCCCACATGCAAAATGCATTCACCCTGTGCCAATATCCCCCAAAGCCTCAACCCACTACAGCAGCAACAGCAAACGAACACGGTGGCTGTGCAGGGATCAAGGCGTAGGCAATGTGGCTCCAGACTTTAGGCTCTGAACTAACTATTTCTCTGCGCGACCTCCCATGGCCACCATCTTCAAAAAACAGGCACGGAAGATGTGAAGACCAGGCAGATATTGTCCCCACTCTAAAGGAGCCACAGCCTTGAAGAATAAAGGACAAATAAATGAGGAGGGGGCACCGCGCCTTCCAAGGCTGTGGGCATGCGCTCATCATCCTGTTGTATTTTCTTCACAGCGGTTATTAGATGGGAAGATACGTCATGTATTTCCTTGTTTGTCTCTCCTCCTCCTCTGGAAAACAAAGGCCACGGAGCAGCAACCGAGGGTACACTGCTAGAAAACAGGCCTTAAAACAGTGTCTGGCGTGTAGCAAGTGCTCTGTTCACCTGCTGAACGATGGGCAGCATCTTTTTAGACTGTTCAAACCAACCAAAGGATGGACAGACAAGAGCGGGGTGGCGGTATGCTCTATTAGGGCTCTGTTCTGTCTCCAGGCAGCCTCCTAAACTTATCACACCACACTGCAGTGATTATATGACATCTTCTGCCCAACGAGACAGGAAGTTAAGGGCGAGGATAGCAGCTACAAGGGCGTGACGGAAAGGTCAAAGTCTGAATCCTCCCTAGCTCCTATGAGCTTCCATTCCCCCACTGCTAAAATGCAAATAACAATGCTTACCTCTGAAGGGACCTTGTGACAACTGAGTGACATAATGTACTTAGTGAACCCAGCAAATGCCTTTCCCCCATCCCACATGCAGACTGTAAACAGTCAGGTACTTTGTTTTTTGAAAGAATACGCCAAGAGTAAAACAGAAACGCTGATCCAGTACTAGTATTCTTACTACTAAAGACCATAATGCCTTCCTCCCACCCACACTCTTCCCCCGTCCACCTCACGTTCCTACGAGTAGGAATTAGAAATGATTCATCGGGCACCACACAGGGAACGTTACTAACGTCAGTGGATTATACGTGTAAAAATGGTTACGAACGGAACAGTAAATGTCATTATATATAACCAGTTGCCATCAAGTAAACTCTGATGCATGGTGACCCATGTGAATCAGAGCAGAACTGTGCTCCTTCGGGTTTCCAATGGTTGGTTTTTCAGCAGTAGTTTGCCAGGCCTTTCTTCTGAGGTGCCTCTGGGAGGATTCCAATTGCCAGCCCCACTCTCTGGGGACTACAGCTTTGAAGAACAAAGGACAAATAAATGAGGAGGGGGCCTGAAGCCTTCCAAGGCGATGTGCTAGCAGCCAAGTGTGCTCATCATCTGTGCCACTCAGTGACTCCTCTGTTATACCCATTTCACCACAATTTAAAAAGAAAAAAAAAGAGATTCATCCTCTATTTGGTCCTCATCTTTCTGCTTTGGTTGTGAAAACCAGAACTAAAACAACTTAAACAACAACATCTGCAGAATGGACAGGAAGTTCAAGAGCAGGACCAAAGGAAAAAACAAAGTAGGGTCCCCTAAAAGCTAAAATTTGAAATTTCCACTGAACTGGAAAGGTATGTACTCATACCTCTGTTTCCCTCTTACCAAAAAAACCCAAACCTGTTGCCATCAAGTGATTTCCGACTCACAGCCCGAGTACAGGACAGAGTAGAACTGCCCCAGAGGGTTTCCAAGGAGAGGCTGGTGGATTCGAACTGCAGACTGTTCAGTTAGCTAGCCAAGCTCTTAACCACTGCGCCATAATCCCACAGCCTCTGAGGAGTGCACACAGAGGTGAGCTGAGTCACTGTTTACTCTGAGCCAGTGTCACCCTGAGCACGTGTAGACAGGAGGTCAAGAATGTGGAGACTGGGGCCTCGCTGAGTTCCCCCTTGTCATTCCAGGAACAAGAAGGCAGCCGCCCAGCAACCAGGAAGTGAGTGGCTGCCTCTGGGAGCCTGACAAGATTATCCAGGACATCGCATCAGCAGTATTACAAAATTCTCTGGTGATCAAGGTTCTGGCTGCATCCTGTCCTTGGTGCCCACGAAGAAAACGGCCAGTCAAAATTAAACTGCTCCTTCACAGCCTCTAAGGCAGGAGAAGCCCCTTCCAAGGCAGCAGGTACACTCCTGTTCCAGAAACGTTACAACCTGCAGTAAAAGTCTGCGTCTCACGATGGCCACTGCGTGGGGTCACATTATCCTCTTGTAAACCAAATGCAGCAGATAAAGTCCAGCTGTTTAACAAAAGAAACCAAAGGGCAGCTTTGACTTGGATGAAACAGGCAACCAACAAGTCTTGTTATCCGACTGGCTGGTCTTGCACTCTATCGTCACCCAATGCTTAGTGCTGGGGGTTAGCCAAGTCCCTGGTGGTGGAGACGTCTGCATTCGCCTGGTCACCGAAAGGCTGGTTTGAACCCACCCAGCGGCACTGTGGAAGAAAAGACCTGGCCATCTACTGCCACTGAGATCACAACCAAGAAAACCCTATGGCGCAGTTCTACTCTGTAACACACGAGGTCGCCCTGAGTCGGAATCGAGTGGATGGCATAAGACAACAACAACAGGGAGTTAGCGACAATAAAGGATCTTAGAGACACCCTTCCCTGCAGCTTGGGGAAGAGGCTGGAGGTGGAGTAAGGAGCCGGGAAAGGCTGTTACCTGGATGACAGCTGGTTTCAAAGGATGACTGCAAACAATCAGGATGTTAACCACCATAACAGCAAGGAAAGCAGTGGGGAAAAGGGGTGCATTCACATTAGTGAACTTCATTAATTCTGTTTCTAATAGAGAATGAGTTATACTCTTGCTGATTCATCAGACTGTTGCCCCCAATTCGGCAGCGGAAAAATTCTGGCCAGGAGCTCGGCGTATGTCACATAAGAGAAGCCAGACCTCACGGTTTCTGGTTTTCAGAGTTTCACACTCGTGAAGAATGTACCACACTACTTCCAGCTGCCCTGTTTACTTACAATAACTCGTTCTTCTTCGTGGGGAGGGAAGTATGTTCACTGCAACAGCGTAATCGCCAGGGCTACTCTGCAGAGTTAACAAACTGAAAGCTTGAATTAAGGCCCTCTACTAAGTCGTGTTTTTGGAAAAATCACAAATAACTACAGACACCAAAAATCATTCATTACCTGTCTTAAAAACGCTTCCACAGGAAGTCACTCCAAACCCACATAACTTATATCAGCCATAATTAAGCAGATGAGAAATACAGAAGGGGAAATGCAAATATGCTCTAAACCAGGAGGAGGGAGATGGCCTCTAGTTCCCACTATCTGGAGCAAACCCAGGAGGGGTAAGGGGCTCTGTGCCTTAGTTTCTTTTTTTGTAAAGAAGAGCGAAGAACACTAGCTTTGCCTCCCTCAAGGTTGTTGCGGATATCAAACGAGATCTTGTTCACGAGAGTACTTTAAAATACTGAAAATACAGGACGGATGGAGGAAGGCGAAAGGGGGCGGGCGGAGGGGGGTGGCAAGAGACTTTCCTGGTTAAATTGAGCAGACTCTGCGCTAGACCTGCGGTGATCTGGAGCCGAAAGCTGCTGTAGGGTGGACAAACGACCAGCAGATTCTCTGCAGCAAGAGGTGCTTTTCAAGGCTCACCTGGATTGTCGCTAAGGCGCACCTACGGATTAAACTGGCAGAGAGTTTGCCCAACGAGCAAGGGAGGACGAGTGGGAAGACACAGGGGCCAAGGGTAGCCGCGACCACAAGGACTGGTGGCCTGACCCCGACAGAGGGGCACCTGCGCTCCAAAGGCCAGACCCTGTTCTTGGCCGGGGACGCCTTGCCCTCGGGGATGCGTCTTTCGGGGCTGCAAGCCCCTCCTCCCCCCTGCCCCTCTGGCCTCTCTAGTCCTTCTCCCGAGGAAAGTCTGGGCACTGGGGGAAACGCCAAGAAAGAGTGCCTGGCCCTCACCTGCCGTGTCCCAGATGGAGATGTTGTAGGAGCGCCACTGCTTCAAGTAGAAGGCGCCCCCCACAGTGCTGACCGTGTCCTGGAAGCGCCGTTCCATGTACCTGTGAAGCAGCGACGTCTTCCCAACGTTCATGTCCCCCAGGAGCACGATCTTCACGTCCGGCTTCCTCATCTTCCCGCAGGAAAGCTCTCCGCTCCTCCCGTCCGTCCGCGCCCTGCCCACGTCGCGCGCCCGGCCGTGCGCCCCCGGGGCGCGCCGCTGACCGCGCGGGGCCTCGCTGGTGCTCAGGGCGCCTCCCCGCTGCCAACGCGGCTCGGCGCCTCGGACTCGGGGGACTCCGGGGACCCTGGACCTCGCAGCCGGGCAGCCGTCGGGCAGCAGGGGCCGAGGCGAGGCGCGGGGACTTTCACCTCCCGACACCCGGAGGACGGAAGAGGAAGCGCGCCTGGAGCGCGGGGGCAGGAGCTTGGAGAGCCGGCCGGCGCCCACGTGGGGTGGCCCGGGCCCGCGGCGGCC